TCCGGAGGGGGGATCATAATTTTACCCTAAATTCCCATGAACTGGAGACTAGGGAAGAGGAACACTTCCTTCATGATCAATTATGGTCGGTGGAGGTGATGTGGCAACTATTGCTGGAAGAATAGATGCGGATGAAGCACTTGCTGGTGTAGGCAAAGGTGGAGATGTAGCTGATGGGGTTGAAGAGTGAGAAGCAGCTGCATCAAATGCAGTGCTGGTTATTAGATTCTCACCAACCAAAGATGGCAGAGACCAGGTACTCAGCCCTGCAGCACCAGGCACAACAGTTGGGGCCCGAAGACGGGAATTGGCATTATCTACCAAATCAAACTCTCCCCAAAGTGCCAAAACATCATTCTCGGTCGGTGTAACAATCTCAACGGGTCGAGCATCTTGTTGAGATGATAAGGATCGTCGTCTTCTATATATAGAAGCTCCCTCATCACTAGCTTCTTCATCATCATCGATCATCATGGTGTCTACGACCGACCCAGAAGGAGGGCCAGTCATCATCACTACCGGAGATGACTCAGGGGCAGCAGTCTTCGCCCTCATATTCTTTTCCCCAGTCGCGGAGGAGCGTCTTCTTTTTAGTTGTTTGTCCGGCCGGTAACTACATAATGATACACTTGTACCCGAAGCAAGCCCGGAGATACCTGTTTGAGTAAGCGCCTCCTGATGCAGCCTCGCCGCATCGGCATGAACAACCAAGATGTCCTCCTAGGGGACATCAACAGAGCCTGCGAGTAGACCTGATTTCATAGACAAGTAGAAGGGATCAATCAAGTTCTTCACATGAAAATTAAAACACGGTGAGTTTGAATTACAAAGATTTTTGGCCTTCCACCCGTATTTAGGGGATAGTTCTTTCCACAAGCGAGTTTCAGGTGTCGTAACATCCAAGATCATCTGGATCCACCTGTCCAAACCTTCAACCGCCGGTGGGATCCATCGGGTTGCTGAAACAGACGAAGGATAGATGATCAATACTGGTATAGAAAAATATTTAATAAAAGAAATATTAAACAAAGAGCTTACGAGTGCGATTCCAAGTGGGTGAAAAGGATGAAGCCATTGCCGGAATAATATCATTGGTGGTAACTGCAACAAATTATTTCATCCATCCACGATCGTTGTCGTCATCCATTTTAGACAACAGAGCATGGTGGCCACGCTTGCAGATGTTTATCATTCCCTCACGAAAGACCTTTGGAGAATAGAGATTCATCATATGATCTAAGTTTATCTCTTCTCCCATCTCGTGGCACAAATGCCAAAGGCAAGCAATCGTCCTCCCCACTGAAGGACTTACTTGTGCCAAACACACATGATATCGGAGGAAAAACTCCGCAAAAACAAAATCAAGCTCTCCACTCAAAGAGAACACACCCAAAGTAAAGGGATACATGTAAAAATATGTAAAACCCTCCTTGGGTAGGGTCACTCGCTCCGATAGATCAGGAGCAACAATATCCAAATCGTGATAGTGGTAGTCTTCCTTCACAGCAGGAATGCTAGAAGGATGGATGGAAGAAAGATACCTACTGACGGCCCATGTACCAGAGTTAGTAGTAGAAAATTTCTCTTCGAAATCTTTTGTAGTAACAAGACTTCTAGGGATGATGGAGCCTACTGTTGGAGGAGCAAAATCCTAGGCCTTGTTCTTGTTCTTTGAAAAACTGGTACATTTTGAGGAAGAAGCCATTGTATGGAAGAAAGAAAAGGTTTTTTCTTGAAGAGAGTTAGAGAAAAGATGAAGAGCAGGATACAACTCGAATAAGAAAAGATGGTAAAATTATGAAGTATAGAGGAGAAGGTTGATGCGTATAAGTAAAAGTTTTGGCGGCTAAATTCATGGCCATGATTACCTCGAGAATCGGCAAATATTGTGCTGAATCGTGGAATGACGCATGTTCAGGGCATTAAATACGGAGAGACGTGCGTCTAATCAACCGTCAGAAGCATTCAGAGGGAGTTATAGTAATTCCTGCCAAAAGAGTATTTCTACCAACTTCCCGGTTATACAAAGTTGTGTCACCGAAAAGTAGGGGGACTATCTGTATAGCGTAAAATATACTATGACACGTGGCCACCCAAAAGAGGGACACGTGGAACCCAAGACAGGGGAATGGCAAAGATCGAAGACAATTGTTCTGTTTGACACCAGAAAGAATAGCGCTCATAAGGGTGTGATGAATACTCTTCACCCGGTAGCATTTAATAGAGAATATTCCATGGCATTAAGAATGAATGTCTGTTTCAGGAAATTTGGCATTTATGTTCACCGTTACATCTTCATCAGTGACTCTCACAATTAACATTAAAGAGGGACACGATCCTAGGACCTCCTTCCCTAGACGTAGCTATAAATAGTGAGTTCAGTTATCATTGTAAGGAGAAAATTTTCTGACAAACTCATGCAACATTCTATTCAAAGTTTAATACAATCTTATCTTCTTGCTTTTTTATTTCATTGTTGTTATGCTCAGAAACCCTATTCCCTGAACTGCTATATCTGTTATTTCGTCTTCATCTCAAGGCTAAGTATTGCATAATTCTTCAACTATTTTATTATTTCAGGATCAAATTAATTCACTTGTCTAAGAACCACGTATAAATTGAACTGTACTGTTGTACGGGTAAACAGTCCTACAGAAGAAGCGTGTACATTTTTCTTTCCCACTGTCCTCTTTCACCTTTTATCCATGGATTTAACTATAGCTATTTTGTGAGTTTTTAGCCAAAATTAACCCTGATGGTAGACCTAACATTGTCCTTCAAATCAGTGTTTTAAAAGGCATTTTCGGGGCGAGCCCTGGGGCGAGGCGCACCAAAAACGCCCTGAGACGATGGTGTGGGGCAAAAGTCTCAAGAGGCGTACGCCCAACAATTCGGGGCGTTTGATGCATGTTTTTTTAGTGAGGCGTAAGCTCTAGAGACCTTTTTCAAATTAAAACAAAATTTGTTGAATAAGTCCTTCATATAATACCCAAATTTTCAAAAGTCAGCTTGGTAATTACTCAAAAGTTTTAAAAAGGAACTCAAATGTATTAAATTTAAAAGCCAAGATTTTTTTATTGATTGAAGCCCTAATTCATGGTCTTTCCCAATTCTTTATCTTGTCCGCTAGTCTGCTAATACCTCCTAAAAGCAACGAATATTTACCTTTTTTTTTTTACAAATACAAAGAGAACTCCATTCTCGTTCATAACAACAAGTTCAAAGTTCAAATTGAAGGTTAGTCATTATTTTTGTTCCTCAATGTAGAAAACGTTATTCTTTTAGACTCAAGTTACTTATGTTTGTAAGTAGCGTATAATAGATTGTTTTGACTAGTTTTTTGTGAGGATGAAGTGCGCGCGTGCACATACACCCCTCCCCNTAGAGCTTACGCCCCGTGACTCGGGGCTTACGCCTTACTGAGGCATATGTGAAACGCTTCGCCTTACACCCACACCTTTTAAAATACTGCTTCAAATATATCCTTGAGCATCATTTGTCCTCTAAATTTACAAACTTAAGCAGAGATAGTCGAGCTAACGGAATGAACAAACAGAACCTGAAACTAACACTCTAATACCACGTGACTCGCACGTAAAACCAAAAAAAGTCCAAACCTCGACTATGATTTCTCCCCTGCGAGCACTTTCGGGGAAATACACATGTAATGCAGATTGGTGCTTTGTGACTCCTTGTTTATGGTGTTAGCACGTCCCTCAAGTCCAAGACTGCCGCTTTTAACATGATCTGGTTTCAACTATTTCTCCAAGTGTCTTGAGCACGAACTTGGTGCTGAACTTGTGGCTTGCCAGTTTCCAGAGCTCATCATCGAAGTTGAAGATTTTGACGAGGTTTTAGGCTTTCTTGGCCTTTTACAATGTTGAATTTAGGAAAATGTCTTTTTTAGATTTCTTATGTGTAAATGAAAGATATCTTATGTGTAAAAGTAAATTTTTCATGTGTAAAAAAAAAGAGATAAAGTCATAAAACTAAAAACAAATTTGTAAAAGGCCAAAAAACTAATTGATCCCTGGCCGAGGCCGCATTTGACCGTGAAGACCAGATATGAGAGAATTTTAGCAAGATGAGAGACTGGCTAAAGCATTTATTTTGAAATGCTTAGTTATGAAAGTAATTTGGAATTGATTCTTTTGCATACAAGATAATTTGAGAAAGATTGACAAATTAAAATTTATAAAAGATAATCAGAAAAAATAGAGGTTCATGTAAAAACATTTTGAGAGAATCGGAAAAGTTCGTCAAATAAATATCTAGATTTAATTTATTACAGTATACATAGCCGTCAAATAGTAAAGTGACTCGAAAATCGGATGTCGAACCCACAAAGACTTAGATTAATCGTTAATTAAGCAAACTAAAATTAACTTACTGTCCAAGATAATCAAAAGTTTAATTTTTCTATTACAACTACTATTGCGGAATTTACAGGAAACCGAGTTGTCACAATTAGTATATTTTTCGTTTAATTGATTTGTCTGTATAAAATGAAAGACAAATAATTCGAGCGGAAACTAAATATTTACTCTATTTGGACCGGCACATATTCTAAATGTTTTTCAAATTTGCTTGACTCAAATTTTTAACATGTCTAAATATTGAAATACATATTTTTACACGTTGCTAGGTTCATGCAGTGGCGGAAATAAAGGTAAATAAGGGGGTTAATTGAACCCCCTTCTCCAGTATAATCGTGCCGATACAATTTTTTGTTTTTTGCATATACATAAACTGTAACATAAGGGAGGGGATAGGTATAACGTATTTTCACATTTTTTTAATCCCCATTATTAGGATTCCTAGCTCCGTCATCACTTGGTTCATGTGCTAGAATTTAAGACATAGTAGGAATATAAGTTGAAGTTGTTTATACGTTTTCTAGGAAGTATGAGCCACAATGATACATCGAATGTGCAAATTCAAATGGTTCATTTCTATATATAGGTTTTGAAAAATTTCAGATAGATATGCAGACAATAGGCTCTATATATGGGTTTTGAAATTTTGTAAGGCAAATGTTTGCTTGGACTAATTAAAAATCAGTACTAATACCTTAGCTAATTCAAGCATAGAGAAGTTTGTTTATTTGTGCAAAAATCCGCTTTCGGTCTATATATGAAAAGATGAATTAACAAAAACCTGGGCCACGAAATTGCTCTCAACCCGACCATCATCTATGCTGTCTATGCACATACGTGGTCCGTATGTGTTGAATATCCTAGCAATTCTAACCTGGGAAAACAATGTGGTTAAACAATAGTACTATATATGAGCTTTCATTTTAAATAATAAACCTTAATCACGAAAAATGGAAGGTTTATGTACAACTTTGCCTAAAATATAAGCTTATTGAAGTAGTAGAAAACCTCAATGTTAAGTCCTCTATGATAATCCATGGCCAAAGTCTCAGCTGTTCGCTTTCCTTCGTCATAATAACTTCGGACACCTGCTCAATGTTCAAAACCAAGTCTAGTATTTTTAGCTTAAGATAACAAGAAGACAAGAGAATGATAATAAGAAAAATAGAAATAATTAGCTATATGCTCCATTGACATATAAAAACAATTAATAACTATTTTCTCAACGACTAAATTTGGAGCACGAGAGTCAAAGCACATAACTAAATTCACATAGACAGTTAAAGAAAAAATAATTTGACTAACCAATAGAGTTAACATTGCCCCAATAAGTTTCGACTTGAGGATGCTGCAAAGGATCACCATACACTTCACTGGTACTAGTGAGCAGAAATCGTGCCCCTACTCTTTTTGCCAGCCCCAACATGTTCAATGTTCCCATCACATTTGTTTTGTGATATCTAACTATTTAAGTCAAGGATAACCTTACCCAAAGTCTTCAAAAACACACATAATATATTAATACTATACTCTATCTTCGTAAGTCAATAAACCAAGCCCTTTGCATTTCATCATGTAAATCTCTATGTCAACATTATAGATGAATAAAAAGACATAAGAATTTAAGTTAAAAAGAAGCAAAAGAAACATGCACTATATCTATTGTAAGAAATTTCATAATCTTTTAAACAAAATTTACTTTTAAAAATTAAGTTGTTTTTTTCTGTTTAACCATTCAATATCTAGTGGATTTTAGATACCAAATGGTTCAACATGAACAAAAAAGTTTTTTTTTTCCAAAAATAAATTTTGTTTTCAGAAATTATGAATTTATTAAAATCATCTTTCAGCTTAACTCAAGAAAATATATAATGAAGGATATGATGGTCTTGACAGGATTATACTTGTAATGAACAGGAGAGGCAGGGCAAGCCAAATGATAAATCTGATCAACTTCTAGCAAGATTGGCTCCACCACATCATGTCTAACCATCTCGAATTTAGGGTTTCTGAAATGGTGCAACAAATTCTCTTTCCGACCAGTGAAGAAATTGTCAACCACAATCACACTATCCTCTCTCTCTATCAACCTATCCACCAAATGGCTCCCAACAAAACCAGCTCCACCTGTTACTAATACTCTCAACTTCTTGTTCTTCAATCCTAATGGCACCTTTCCACCTGCAACACATTATATTAAATCAAGAGTGAAATAAACCACTAAGTAAAAATGAACTCTTGACAACAGATATCTCGGTTCTCGCATCGGTGAAGAACACAGCGAAATACGACACTCGGTGTGAATTGCAGAATCCCGTGAACTATGGGCTCTTCAAACTCAAGTTGCACCCGAAACCATTAAGCCTAGAGCACATCTGCCTTGGCGTCATGCATTCCGAAAAGTAAAAAATAAAACTCCTAAAATCATTAATTAGCACACTAGTAATTTATGACAATGAGTGAGCAATTCCATAATTTAAGTTAATGAGGGTATACTATCATTTAGCACCCTAGTATTTTTTTTTTTTCTATCTATATATGTAATTTTAGGCGAAGACAGTGGAAAGGTCCTCATCCGTCACCAAAATAGTGGATCTGCCACTGACTTTGATAATTATTACGATCAGAATAGAAGCATGATTTAGTATATATTAAAAAAGAAATCAACTTGATACTTAGTAAACTAGGAATATATTTTTATATGTCAGAAAATATATAAATATATATATTTGGTCAAGAAATAATTTAAGACAAACTCTGAAGAAGCCGACCAAGACATTCAATTCAGAGAATTTGTTTATTGCATCCAGCAAAAATTCATCACCATGTTTTTGTAACTTTAAGATTATGATTTTTTTGGTAAGTTGAAGGGAACATTGGAGCAACGGTATAGTTGTCTTCGTGGGACCTATAGATTACTGGTTCGAGCCGTGGAAACAGTCACTAATACTTACATTAGGATAGGCTGGCTGTCTATATCATACCCCTCGGGATGCAGCCGAGTCTGAATACTATGTGCAAGGGGCTGCCCTTTGAATGTAATGGACATTGATGTTTTTTGTAATTTAGGAATGGAAATTAAGGTAATTAAACATGCCTGCATTAATGTTGCGGTAAGCTTCACCGACCACCTCGTACGTTATTCTACGAGGAATCAAAGAAGTTGACACAACCGAAACGTCCGAAATCGAATCACTACCGATCTTGTACCCGGCCAACAACGACGGAGAAGAAACAGAATTAACCACAGCGAAAGCCGCAGTTGAAATGGCGATTCCGATTAGTAAACAAACCATTCGCTGCTCTTCAAACACGTAATTCATTGGGTATTTAAAAAATAACCCTTTCTTGCTCAACATGTCCTTCTTACGTTCAGTTTCCATAGTGGCCAAAAATTTTAATATCTTTTGGAGATCTAAGAAGAAGGATCAAGAGATCCGAAATGTGGGTTACGTTGTACAAAGAATGATGATAATGTAGTTATGTGGCTATGTGCTGAAGTTTACTTTGTGTGAGAGAGACTCAAATGAGTGAAGAGAGTATAGGCTTTTGCATGTGTTGTTTGCCGTAAGATCGTTGTACTGTACGGCGCAACTAATGACTTTTTTCACTTCTTCACTAATAGTTCACGCTACCCTGGGTAGAGAGGCTGTTTTCGTTAGATCCCCGGCTCCCTCCATTCAAGAACTCTCCATCTTGCTCTTGGGGTGACTCGAACTCACAACCTCTTGATTGGAAGTGGATGGTGTCTACCACTAGAATAACCCACTCTTGTTTAAGTAATTAAATTAAATTAAATGCAAAAAATATTTACATGTTCAATGTATTTTGACCGGTTCTAGCAATGTATATAAGTTCTATTACAAGCGACAAGTTTTTTCTTTACTTTTAATTTTTATAATTTTAGGTGACTGGAAAATTTGTTATATGGCATGTCACGTGAATAGTGCAACGGTGAAAGAGAAAAAATGACCAGCGGCTCAATTGAGTAGGGGCCTAAAGCTAAATCTTAACTAGAGGTCTTAGAATATTTAATAAAATTTATATATTTTTTTTCTTGTAGCTGTTATTTTCAAAGATGCCATTTATTTTTTACAACAAACTCTTCTAATATTTTTTTCTTAGTTGATAGTATAGCCAATTTACTTAAACTTTCTTGACGAGATATTGTTGATTTTATCTTATTAAATTCACTTTTGAAAAATATCTATCAGCATAGGAGAACTATCAATTGCCTAAATTTTTCTCAAAGCAATTAGATATGTGAAAAATAAACACGTATTTTTATGAGAATTGAGTATATTATGTATATAATATTATCTACTATTCTTTTAGTAACATTTATTTCAAAAACTTTCTAAAACATTAATATGGAGCTAATTAGCTCAAAGTGTGTGTAGAAACCATTGTAAAAGTGAAAATTAATTCAAGTATTGAATAAATAAGAGGAATGAAACAAGAAGTAGTTTGATTTAATCTGTTATAGTTCAACCAAATCCTTTCTAAAGAATAGTATTGTATAGGGTAAAATATGCTATGCTACGTGGCCGCCCAAAAGAAGGACACGTGAAATCTAAGACGGGGGATAGCCAAAATCGAAGGCAATGGTCCTGTCTGTCACCGGAAAGAATAACGCTCATAAGGATGCAATAAATACTCTTCGCCCGGTAGCATTTAATGGAGAATATTCCACAACATTAAATATATTGCCCGTTACAAGGAATTTGGCATTTATGCTCACCGTTACATCTTCATCAATGCCCTCATAATTGACATTAAAGAAGGGCACGATCCTAGGACCTACTTTCCTAGACGTAACTATAAATAGTGAGCTCTGTTATCATTGTAAGGAGACGAATTTTCTGGCAAACTAATACTACAATCTACTCAAAGCTCTAATCAATTTTACCTTCTTATTTTCTGTTCTTGTTCTTATTACTGTTGCGCCCGGAGGCTTCACTACCAGAGTTTTTATTTCTGTCATTTCGTCTTCCTATCTAGGCTTAGGCTAAGTGTTATATATTTCTTCAATTATTTTGTTATTTCAGGATCGAATTAATTCACTTGTCTAGAAACCACGTATAAATTTAACTGTACCGTTTTATGGGTAAACAAGCATAACATTTGGAACCATGCCATTAATGATTATTGAGAAATTGACAGTAAAAGGTTCATCAAAAGAGTAAATAAATAACATATATACATAGTACTCCATATAATATGGGTAAGATTTTGGGCCTCATATATCTTGAGGCCTAAAGCAATGGCTTTAGCCGCCTCGGGGTTGAGCCGCCCCTGAATGCAACCCAGCCTAACTTAATATGATATACACCTCTCTAGATTTAATTACTAATTTCTCTTTGGCATTAGAGTATATAAATTTCTACCTTTTGTGACAATATTATTGGACATTATAACAAACGTTTCTTCATTTTAACTGAATTATATAAAATAAATAAGAGAATGCCAACATTAGAAAATATTATATGGGCGTATTACTTGAGATTTAAGATTGATAAAGTAGTTAATCTATAGGGAGAAATTATTTTCCAGACTTGTAAAAATGAAATTATTCAGATCATTAACAATCAGATAAAGGAAACGTCGTTACATATATGAAACTAAACACGATAATAATATAGAAGTATATAATGAATACAAGATTAACTATCACTTTACAAATTGCTACACCTTTAAAGGACACTGCAAACTGGAGGTTGATAAAAAACACATCCCACATGTACGGGTGTAGTGGTGTACAAATGAAACCGACAAACCGCATCAATCCGATAATCCGAGTTAAACCGAGAAAAAAAATCCGACTATGGTTTGGTTTGATTTGGTTTGGTGTTGGAAAAAAAAATTCGACCAAATTTGGTTTGGTTTGGTTTTAACTAAAAAAAGTCAAACCGAAACCAAACCAACCCGACATTATGTATAGAAGTTTTAAATATATTTAATACATAAAAATATTTATGGTAGTTAGTTTATAAATATTTCTTAAGCTTTTACATAGTTTTATCTTTTAACGTATTATTTCAATCTTGAACTTATAATTTTTGGATGCTCCAATAAGTTTTATAGTCCATAAATGTTAGTAACTCAAATAGTTCATAAACCAAAATCAAATCAATATTAATGTTAATAAAAGACATTCAATTCAATTGTACTAGGAATGAAAATAGTGTTGGATATCTATTTTTTAGTTTTTTCATGGTTTAGATAAAAAGTATAACTTATTTTCTTTTAGTTTGTTTAGTCATGTAAATAATAGTACTTATTAGTCATAATTTTAAATTATGTTTGTTTTCATTATGGCTTATTAATAATATTTATTTTATGCGATTTTATTATTTTTATTGTTGAATATTTAGTACAATGTCATGACTCATCTCATATTTATGTTATTTTATTAAAAAATATTTTATATATTTCTGTCTTACTAGGATTAAAGAAATATTTGGAGCACTAATTTTACGTTTTGCGCTATGAAAACTTTATGAAAAAAGAAAATAAAAAAACCCGAAAAACCGAGAAAATCCGAGATTAAAAAATACGACTTTTATTGATTTGGTTTGGTATTTAAATTTAATAACCCAATACAATTAGTTTAGTTTGATAATTAGAAAATTCGAACCAATCTGTTACCCCTACGCACATGCAAGTGCGAGGGAAAATGACAACATCCCAACCCCTACACCTTGCGACTAAACAAATTAAAGCAAGCTTCGAAAGCCATATTTTTTTCCCCTTTGTATGGGCATTCCATTATCTTATAGTAAAACGGAGTTTATTTTAACGAGGTGTAGGGGCAGAGGCGGACCTACATTATAGATTGAGGGATCATCGGCACCCGAAAACTTCGGCAAAGACTCCATATGCTTTTGCAAATGTCTTCAAAAAATAGTCAGATATTAGAATAACTCCCCGTACCAATATTTATGAGCAGCAATAAATTTACATTGAATGTCTTAGTGCCCGCGACCACCGAATCCCCTCTGCATAGGAGTCAGAAGTAACTCTGTGAATCATTAATTGGTAGGGATAATTTAAGTAACTAAATATATTTTGAGAGAAATGTTGTATAAAGTCCACTTTTGGATCTATATATTTGTCGTTCTTCAATTAAAGATTAAATACTTCCTTAATGAAATTAAGATGCTCAAATTTAAAGATTATAGACATGAAAGAAATCAAGAATCTTACTATTCAGAACTTTAAGCTATAACAAGTTAAAACAACATTATAAGTTAATATCGTGATGCCTTTATACACCTTGTTGTAAAGCTTATAAAAATAGTTAAGAGAAAATGGTCAATTGAACTCGTTGTCTAACGAAATTCTGATGAAATTAATTATACATTTTAACTTTCTGTTTCATATCGTTTTGTCAACTATTTAGGATGTCTAGTTATAAAACGTTGTTCTATAGAAGGATCACTTAACGAATTTCTTCATTTACCAACCAATAAAATTGATATCTCCTCAATTAATACGAAGGAAGTTCTACTAGGATTACTACCTTTTTCAACTATTATGAGAAAGAACTTAATACGCAATAATCATATAAGCAATCAGACATAGCAATTCATACTCGATACAAAGATATACCCTCAAAGATTTTTATCTGTGGATATTTTAACGTACAAAAAGAAAACTACTAAGAAGGGCAATTTTCATGTTCTTCATCTCACGACTATAAATAAACCCACACAAATCAAAATTAATAGGGAAAAGTGTATCATCTAGCCTCTCCGGTACTTGAAATTTGATTAGCAAAAACTCTTCCATGGGAAGTTAAGGGGCATGACCCAACAGATAAAGCTGTGCCTAATCAGGTTTCTTTTTATTCATCAACTGAAGTCTGATTCACTCCTTGTGCGTGTGAGGGGCTGGCGGTTGGAGAAACTTGGCAACACGTTCTGCTTTGGCGCCTGATTTATGGTCGTAGTACTCGACGACTGCAGCGCCCGCTAACGCAGCAAGAGTCAGCGCTTGTGCATGCAGCCTGATTACCAATAAAACACACCAGTTACTCATGAAGACAGCTCAAGAAACGCCACATGATTTAAAAAACCAAAATGGCAAAATGAATAAAGGAAAGGTACTTCTGAAAAGGCCCAGAGCATGTGATTCTGCTCTTTCTAAGACCACTGCAGTGGACTCTACTTTTACAAGAGAATAACAAGGCAAGATGTATGACCAAAATCTTATAAGAAATAGCACAGAGCATCCAACGCCGTCAAAGTAAGATGTATTTTTCTTTTTTTACAACCAAGAATTTCTTTTTAATCAGGTAAATAAGAATTTCATTTAATAATCATCCCGAGGATGCAACCGAGTATAAAAATGATATAGCTCATGTGCAATTCGTTCTCTCCTATCTAAAGAGCCGACAAAACCCAAAAGTGTAAAAACATTATATACTTTATACCATGCTCATGTTGATGACTGAGAAATTTCCGAGGGCTAGTGGCACACGGTACGGAACTCAGTGGGTAATGGGATCAACCCTCTATCCTTCTCACTTAAATACCATGCTTTTGTATGCGGTAGAGTTTTCTGTCAAAGTTAGATGTTTTGTCAACTTGAAAAACATGTAATCCTACTAGGTTTCTTGTATTCACTAATATCGCCAGATATCTTTTTAACAGGGCATTAATATCTCAATCTTGCCCACCACAAAACTAGACAAACACAACAAACTAAAATGGACCAGGGTTCTTGAAAATAACAAACAGATAAGGTGAGAAGAAACACACTCAGAGAAGTTGATCACACATAAGGTTCATAATATATTAACTTAATGTTGCACTTGCTTTATTTTACAATATTTTCTTTTTCCTGTACGAGCTCCAGGGGGAATTAGTCAGGTCCTTATTTGCACTGTTCATGAGCTTGTCCAATCAGAATAATTTTAAAGCATGAATAAAAACATGAGAACCTATATTAGCAACCCCCCCCCCCAAAACCCCCCTGTGATCTTGTCAAAGTGAATAGGAGACATTGCTGTCAGCTTAAAAAATGTGAAGAAGAGTTTCAATCAAGAAAGACAATCGGTTTTTGCAAAAACTGAAAAACTTTCCTTTCTTACCGTACGGATGAAAAACAGTTTCCCAAAAGAAATTCAAAATTTACGCTGGCATAACCCCTCTGCTAGTTTTGCTGGTCAAGACAAAGTGATTTTAACAAGATAGTGGAAAAGGTTAAGGCATAACCGCCGCTAAGACAACATGAAAAGGTACCCCAGTAGAGCTGGTTTCATAAATTTCTTAGAATCTTCAACACAAAGAGCACCACCTCTGAAATCTGAATACTCAGTAAGTGTTTTGGACAACATTTGAGTTGAAATTGATAAAAGAGTATCTGAAGTTAGAGTTGAAAAAACAAATCCTTGTGAATGTTGAAGAGTATGAAAAAATTCAGAGTCTGGTATGTATGCACATGTGTTTTTTTAGTGAGTCTTTCAACAACATCAAGTACTCTCTCAAGTCACAGTGCATGAGAAAGGATGTATTAGTCTACAATTAAACCAGTTCCCCTTTCGAAAACACTATATCCTAGAACCCAAGTTGAATCGAAGATTGAATCCATATTACACTTCTTCTGTGTTCGGCAAGTGACACACGGAATCATACCCTCTAATAGAAAAAAACAAAGAATCTGATCAGCGGAAAGAAAGACTTCCAATTACATTAAGATTGAATCCATATTACACTTCTTCTGTGTTCGGCAAGTGACACACGGAATCATACCCTCTAATAGAAAAAAACAAAGAATCTGATCAGCGGAAAGAAAGACTTCCAATTACATTAAGATTGAATCCATATTACACTTCTTCTGTGTTCGGCAAGTGACACACGGAATCATACCCTCTAATAGAAAAAAACAGAGAATCTGATCAGCGGAAAGAAAGACTTCCAATGACATTATATACCTTTGAAACCAGCTTTTGGTGTTAACTAAATCAAGCCTTTTCTAGCTTATACATCTCCCGTGTGTCTTCATATTAATGATGAGCATAAAAAAATGCTCATCATGCTCTAGAAATCTCCGAGGGTCTACTAGAAACAGCCTCTCTACCTTCACAGGGTAGGGGTAAGGTCTGCATACATACTACCCTCCCCAAACCCTACTTGTGGGAATACACTGGGACTGGGTACGTTGTTGTTGTTGTTGTTGCTGCTCTTTTAGAAATCTAATCTATTAAAAGTTCCAATTTTCATCAGTTCGCTTTTGATAACTTTTTCAACTAGACATATACATATAGTTTAAAGCACAGTGCAAGCTTAAACAGAAAGCGAAACATACATATGAAAGTAAATGCAATTAACATCATCATATTCTGCTATGGAACCCTGGATCAGAAGTGAATTAGGAGTCGGGACCAATCTACAAATCGAACAGACACAGAAACATCTGCTTGATCGTAGACAAAAATAAAAATTGAATCTTTAAACCTCGATCCCTCGGAATTGGGGATAAAAGAGTGTAATTACCTGGCATGAATAATCTTAACGCTGGTTTTCATGTTGGGTTGAGACCAATTGTAAGCAATTGAACCCGCTATTCCACTCAGCCATAAGCACCCTTCAAATAATTCAACCCAAAAACAAAAACAAAAAAATTCAAAACCAATGACCAAAAACAAAACAAAAAAGAATAAAACCCAACATCAAAACCAAAGAAAAGAATAATCTGTTGATTCATATAGGTAAAAGAATATCAAACAACAAAAGTACAATAATTACCAACTGTTCGGAGCTTGTGTTCCACCACCCATTCCCTCACAGATTCCAACGTGTTCTTCTTTTCTGCCATTTCTTCTGCCTTGCAAATAAATAAATTGACTGTCAAAGGGGCGTTCTGAGGAATCTATAGAGATTTTTATATTTGGTGGGTTTTTTTGTTTTCTTTTAGGGAGTTGCCAAGAATGAAAAAGAGAGTAGAAACACCGAACACGTCGCGTTTAGTCAATTGTCTTCATGCCGCCTCGAATTTGCCGGGCCGAAACCCGGATGGCCCGAACTCTTCTTGGGCCAAACAGCTAACAATTCAATGGGCTCATTTTTAGTTATGGGCCCTCTGAGTGCCCATCTCCTTTCTCTTCACATTTATCTTTGTTTTTCGATGAATTAACCTAAATAACTACTTATTCAACCGCTTAAATTAAAAAATAGTCGATAAATATAGAATATAAGTATAATTACGTATATTCACTATATAATTTATGTATACCGACAAATAAAAATAAATAATGATTTCATTGACTATTCGTACAGAGATCCTTTTTGTGTTTTTATCACGATTCAGGAGTGTAAAATTGCATGTATAATGAAAACCTAATGGCGTCGATGCTTTCTCATCTACATGGAAAATCAATAGATTTCAACTTCTCTATTTATATAATAATGACTGATTATGTCTTACATTAGAATATAGCCTTTATTTCTAATTCAAAAAAATTAATGCCATCTTTTGATTCGTGAAAAACAATGTGTCTTTACAAGTCTTTAGAATTAAGTTTTCTTTCTTCTCTTTGGAGAAAGGGGCCAGTTGTATAAATTTCTTTTACAAAATTTGCTCACTATTCAGTCAATCAATTGTACTTCAACTCTAAATTAGTTACGATCAACTACATCAATTTGTGAAAAATTAACACTTCTGGTATAAAAGTCATAATTAATATAGTTTTGCTTTACTAGGCGCAGAAATAGCAGTGGCAAAATGGATTAAGAAAATAGTTTTGTATCTATATTATTCACTAAAAATAAATTAGATAATAAACTTTTAAAAAATTATCAAATATGGATAAGATTCATATTACCTACTTAAAAAATAGATAACCAAATGATTTAAACTTTTACATTTGCAAAGACTCAAACCGGGGGTTTCTCAAGTTTGGAAGATTAAGAATTCTCCCAAAAGTGATCATATTCAATACGCCATGAGAAATATGGATATTCATATTATCTACCGGTCCATTTTTTATCTGTATTACATATGAGTTGGATCAGATTTTTTATCCATTTTTCGTTACTGTTTTTTATCCGCCCATATTCGACCCCGACCCGTCCATTTTTTACCCCTATAAATAATGGTTCAAACTAATCGAAATCTTATTTCTGTTAGTCCAATTAAACGACTACAATAGGTATCATTATTGGTTCATACCATAATAATATTCTCAATTATTTGCAACATCACCTATCCAAACCAATAACAATTTAGCAAAATTTAATTTTTAAATTCAAAGTTTTAAAACTTTTTAATAGTTATCAATGGAGTTTAAGCTCGTGACTTCATATTTCATATACCCAAACAAAATACAATTCATACTTTGTCCATTAATTACATTGAATATCGCATGTCATAGCGAAGATTCCGTTCCGAAATGATAATGCTGGACTTCATGTTGGACTAAACTAGCCCAAAGACACTCTTAATATGGTGTGATATTATCCGTTTTAGGCCAAGTTCGCACGATTTTACTCAAAAGGCCTCACATCATTAAGAGATCCATACACCTTATATGTAGACTCCCAATCTTTTCAGCTACCAATATGAGACTTTGTTCGCACACCTAACAATCTCCCCCTCCCCCTCCCCCCTCGAACTAAGTTCCATGTGGCTCACTACCACGATTCACGGGTCTCTCCCTTGAACTAAGTTCCATGTTATCACTGCCACGATCCACGGGTCAATTTTCGAGATTCATTGTGTGTCACCCACATTGTTAGAGTATTATGGCAACCGAAACCCGCAACAAGCTTCTTCTTGTGTGCGCCCTGCCCCACACCATTACTTTGCTATCTCCATACTCGTCCCGTCGAACTTGGGATCCGATACCAATTGTTGGACTAAACTAGCTCAAAGACACTCTTAATATGGTGTGATACTGACCGCTTTAGGCCAAGCCCGCACAGTTTTACTCAAAAGGCCTCACACCATTAAGAGATCCCTACACCTTATATGTAGGCTCCCAATCTTTTCAGCTATCAATATGAGACTTTGTTCGCACACCCAACAATCTCCCCCTCGTTTCCTAGTAATGTTGAGTAAACTCAGATTGTTCAGCAACCTGAAATTGTTGTGCAGCCTGCACTTCAGGAAGAAGTTAATGATATCCCAGCACCGCAAGGTGTGGAAGATAACATTGAAGCTTCAGTTCCGGGAAATGATGTTGTGATTCAATAACAAAATCCAACTGCACCTGTAGTGACTAGTCGTAGTGGGAGAATTGTTAAAAAACCTCTTTGATTTGCGCTCTTGGGAGAATCTTATGATAAAATACCTGAAGAGCCTAATACAGAACCTCTTAATTACGACGAAGCACTACAGGATACAGACGCTCAAATTCTGAAATTTTGTCGAACTCTGATTGACCTCAAATTTGGTAGGTTCATCAGAAACGACCCAGTACGTCTTTTTTTGGGCATTCAGGGTCGTTTAGATGGGGTTTTGGCCATTTTTCTATTTTCTGGGGAAAAAAAATTTAATATTTTTTTTTTAAAGAAAATAATGATGGTAGGGCTCAATTCCCATGGTTTTCAATCATGTTTTATAGTAATATAATGAATTTATATGTTGACATAGGTCTTCTTCCACATCGGATAAGTTCATTATAGATGATTACTATAGTTTTGCCTCTAGTTATTTGATTACTTGTATTAACTCTCCAACTGAGTTACATATTGATACAATGAATCTAGAGTTCATAAAAGTAATATTTATGAATAGTTAAGTTTTCCTAACGAATCTAACTGTTCAATGAGCATGGTTATATGTGTAATGTGCTGTTTTGAATTTAATTATTCTAATTACATAACTAATGATCTGTTTAATGTGAATATCTCTCAGATTAACCATGTCTTGGTTCAACCCACTTACCTCAATTTTGAACCAAAACAAGTTAGAAGGACCGAATTATGTTGACTGAAAAAAGAACCCTAATATTGTCCTAACTGTTGAAGGTTACAAATTTGTAATCACTGAGGAGTGCCCAGAAAAACCCGATGAAGATGCTACTGATGATCAGGTTAAGGCCTGTGACAAATGGGTTAAGGCTGATGAGATGGCGCGATGTTACATTCTTACCTCTATGGCGAATGTTTTGCAACATCAGCATCAGTTTATGGGGTCTGCTTATGACATGCTCAAAGGTCTCAAAGAGATGTTCGGTGAGCAAAATCGTGCGGGCAAACAGCCATGAAAGCCCTTTTGAACACCAAAATGGCTGAAGGATCATCGGTCAGGGACCATATTCTGAAGATGATGGATCTTCTTAATGAACTGGAGGTCCTTGGAGCTGTGATTGATAAGGAATCTCAAGTTGAGATGGTCCTGCAGACTTTGCATGACAGTTTTCAATAATTTTGTTTGAACTATAATATGAACAAAATGAATTTATCATTGGCGAAATTGTTGAAAGAGCTACAAGCGGCAGAATCTATTATCAAACAGCAAACTCCAGTTGTGGCACTGAATGTTGAGAAAGTTTCGGTTTCTAAGTCGAAAGGTGGTAAGAAAAAGAAGAAGGCTCAAAAAGTTTTGGCACCTGGAGATGCGGGTGGTGTGAAAAAACTCAAAGAAAAGTGCTATCATTGCAAGCAACCTGGGCATCACAAAAAGCAATGCCCTGCCTATCTGGCAAAGTTGAATAAGCAAGGTAATTCGAATTTAAATGTCGTTGAAACTTGTTTAGCGACTGTCTTTATCATGTTTTGGTGTGTAGATTCAGGAGCCACTAATCATATCTGTACTACTTTATAGGGATTTCAGGAAATACGGTGGCTAAGTGAGAATGAATTTTGTGTTTTTCAAGCCAATGGCGAGCCAGCACCAGCTTTAGCATTAGGAGATATTAGAGTTTCGTTTAGTAGCGATAGAGTTTTAGTTTTGAAAAATGTTCTCTATGTACCTTCTATAAGAAGGAATTTGATTTCGGTTTCAAAAATAATGGATGTTGGTTATAATGTTTATTTTGCTAATAACTATGTTGTTATTAAGTTTAATAAACGTTTTATCTACACTGTTGCAAGAGAACATGACCTTTTTATTCTTGATATATCTCTTCATGTGCTCCAACCAAAAGAATTAAATAACATTAATCTTCCACATAAAAGAAAACGTATTTCTGAATTGAGCAAAACTTATTTGTGGCACTTACGTCTAGGTCATATAAATCTAAATAGGATCTCGAGATTAGTTTATGATGGACCTTTGAGTGAAAGTGGAGTCATTGCCAACATGCGAATCCTGTTTAGAAGGTAAAATGAGCAAGAGACATTTTCCCTCAAAAGGAAATAAAGCCAGCAATAAGTTAGAATTAATTCACTCTGATTTGTGTGGCCCCATGAATATACAAGCAAGAGGTAGTTTTGAGTATTTTGTGACTTTCACAGATATTACTCAAAATATGAATACATTTATCTGTTGTATCGTAAGTCTTAATGCTTCGAGAAATTCAAAGAATTTAAGACAGAAACGGAGAAACGACAGGATAAATATATCAAAACATTGCGAACTGATCATGGTGGTGAGTACCTTTCTGCGAAATTCATTAAATACTTATCAGATTGTGGAAGTATATCTCAATTATTTGCCCTTGGAACACCACAACAAAATGGTGTGGCAGAAAGAAGAAATAGAACCCTTTTTGGAAATGGTTAGATCAATGTTAAGTTGTTCTGATTTGCCTTTTTTCCTTTTGGGGATATGCCTTAGAAACAGCAAATTATATTCTAAATTTGGTTCCTTCAAAGTCAGTACCTTCAACCCCAGCAGAATTCTGAACTAGGCGCAAGCCAAGTTTACGGCACATTCAGGTTTGGGTTGTCCAGCACATGTGTTGAAAGGGAAAGCGGATAAATTGGAATCGAGAATAGAAGTATGCATATTCATTGGATATCCAAAAGGAACTAAAGGAGGTTTGTTTTATTGTCCCAAAGAAAAGAAGGTAATTGTTATGACAAATACCAGATTTTTAGAAGAGGACTATTTAATGAACTATATTCCTAGAAGTAAACTAGTTTTACATGTATTAAGCAATGGAATAACTAATGACTCATCTCTGGAATGTATCTCGGAAGTCAGTATTGACATACCACTGTATTATCGTAGTAGGAGAAATATTAATAGGCAATAGAACGCACAAGAGCAATTGCATGACATCTCACTACCCCAAAGTAGTGGGAGTCATGTTGAGCAACCTCAGATTGTTCAGCAACCTAAAATTGTTGTGCATCCTGCACTTCAGGAAGAAGTTAATGATATCCCAGCACCACAAGGTATGGAGGATAACATTGAAGCTTCAGTTCCGGAAAATGATGTTGTGATTCAACAACAAAATCCAACTGCACACGTAGTGACTAGTCGTAGTGGGAGAATTATTAAAAAACCTCTCCGGTTTGCGCTCTTGGGAGAATCTTATGATAGAATCCGTGAAGAACCTAATACAGAACCTCTTAATTATGACGAAGCACTACAGGATACAGACGCTGATAAATGGGTTGTTGCTATGAAATCTGAAATAGAGTCCATGTACTCCAATCAAGTCTGGGATCTTGTAGAACTACCTACTGGAGTCAAACCCATTGGTTGTAAATGGATCTATAAGAAAAAGATAGGAGTGGATGGAAGAGTGCAAACTTTTAAAGTTAGGCTTGTTGCAAAAGGGTTTACTCAAAAATAAGGGATTGATTATGAGGAAACTTTTTTGCCAGTAGCCATGCTTAAATCCATTAGGATTCTCTTATCCATTGTTGCTCATTACGATTATGAGATTTGGCAAATGGATGTCAAGACGACTTTTCTTAATGGAAGTCTTGATGAGTGTTTCTATATGGCACAACCAGTTTGTTTTAAAAAAAATGGCAATGAGCACATGTTGTACAAATTAAAGAAATCCATTTATGGATTGAAACAAGCTTCTAGAGCATGAAATACTTATTTTTACACATCGATTAAAATCTTCGGTTTTGATCAATGTGAAAACAAGACTTTTGTCTATAAGAAGTGGGATGGAGATAAAGTTACATTTTTGGTTTTGTGCGTAGATGATATTTTGCTCAATGGAAATAATGTGAGCATGTTGAATTTAGTAAAGGAATGGTTGTCCTCGCGTTTTGATATGAAAGACTTGGGACAAGCGGCACATATCCTTGGGATCAAGCTTATGCGAGATCGCAAGCGAAGGATATTAGGCTTATCCCAAGCACTTTATATTGATACTATTCTCACCAGGTTAAGCATGCAAGATTCCAAGAAAGGTTTTCTCCCTTTTAGGCATGGATTCTTTATGTCAAAAAATCAGTCCGCAAAAACGACTGATGACACAGAAAAGATGAAGGTGGTCCCTTATGCTTCTGCTGTAGGGAGTCTCATGTATGCTATGCTGTGTACTAGACTTGATATCTGCTTTGTTGTTGGCATGGTTAGTAGATTTCAGTCTAATCCTGTATGAGAACACTGAACTGCCGTTAAACATATAATCAAGTACCTGAAAAGGACTAGGGATTATATGTTGTTTTACTACTCAGGTGATCTTGTATCCATTGGCTATACTGATTCAAATTTCTAGTCAGATAGTGATTCTAGAAAATCCACCTCGGGATATATTTTTACCTTAGGAGGTGGAGCCATAAGTTGGAGGAGTATCAAGCAATCATGTGTTGCTGATTCCACCATGGAAGCCGAATATGTGGCTGCATCTGAGGCAGCTAAAGAAGTTGTTTGGCTCGAGAACTTTCTAAAATAGCTTAATATAGTTTCTTCGATTCAAACACCTATTACACTTTATGGTGACAATAGTGGTGCAGTTGCAAACTCGAAGGAACCAAGAAGCCATAAAAAGAGTAAGCACATTGAGCGTAAATATCATTTAATTTGGGACAAAACTCAGAGAGGGAGGTGATGCAAGAGTGTTGAAGATTGTGTCAGAGGACAATTTGGCAGACCCGTTTACAAAGAGCTTGCCACAGAAGATTTTTGACAAGCATGCAGAAGGGATGGGTGTTAGAGTTGTAGACGCATGGTTATGAGTCTAAGTTGGAGATTGTTGGGATATACTATTAACCATGCAATTTAGATATAGTATTGTATTTTATACTTTATGGATTAATTATTTATTTAATTTATTCAATTCAATAAAGTACTATTTTAAATAGATCATTTGTTACATGTGTGTCCTTTAGTTATGTAGTAGACAATTTAGTGTATGGAGTCTTAGTTCATGCACAGAAAATTAAATTGTCGGTTCTCATAATTAATAAACTATATTCACAATCGAAGATGTTATTGAAAAAAATATCTTGATGATTGTAGCACAAGATTATAATATAATTTGTCTTGATTATGGGAGTGGTTTTACTCCGACTTCTTGTGCTAGTATACTTAGTGTATATTGAACGGACCAAGTAGAGAAAAGATATTTTTGTACTGAATATATATAAAATATTTTTTCTAATTCATTAAATGATACTCCTAATCTTGATATAATTATTATGATCAATGTGATTTGTTTATTATTTTGATTTATCAAAAGGTATAACTCTATTCAGAGTTAGTGTATGCCTAATAGATTGGATAATAACGAATAGCATTTGTGAAATAATAATTAGTTGATAGAATCCATGACTCGATTTTGAGTTTGATGATACCCCTTTATGTAAGCTTATAAGTTTTCATGTGAAAACCCTGCCGATGGATTTTGTATCCGTCACATGAAATAGTTTAAGCGGAATTATAGAGGATTTAATTAGTTGATTAAATTAAATTATTAGTGATTTAATTAAATTAACTGGTATTTGTGATCTTAACATGTGGAGTTAAAATAAGTGTTAGTGAATTTTTGAAATTCATATTGAGGAGTTCAATTGCAGTTTTTTAGTGGAATAAACTGCAATTAATTATAGTAGGAATTAATTCATCCAAATTTTTGAATTAATGCTATAATTGGTAGCCTCTTACTATTTATGTGGTCCCTGCTATACCGATTAAAATCCTGGACTGACTTGGGTAAAAAAAAAGTGATTTAGGAGAAAAGTCATCCTGTAGAGTTACAGTAGGATTCTACTTACACAAGTAAAATCCTACACGTTTTTTGAGCCCTCTTTGGCTGAAAAAACGAGTCTACATAAGGAAGACACATTTCACCCAATAACTTACCTTTTTGAATTGTATTGTTCTTGTCCACTCAAAGCAATCTCAAGGTCTTACTAAAACCATAGCAGAAGACTGTAGCCCTGAATTTTTGCTATGAGGAGGACATGTGCAACGTTTTCAAGAGATTAGTGATTTCTAATCTCGTAATTATATCATTGTATAGTTTGCATGTATTTGATGCATGTATTGTATGCTTGCTTCCGGTGTGTATGTTCTAACACTTCATTGTATCACGATTTATGGCAGCTTTGTTGAGACAATAAGCAGGACTTTTCACTAATAAATTAATGATTAAATAAGTCAAACCGAGACTAAGGCTATTTTTACGATGGAGAGAATATGTGATGAAACTAAATTTTCAGTCAATTCAACACCTAAGGGGAGAGAGGCATGGGAGAGAGGAATGAAGCCTAGGATGGATAAGTTTGGAGTCTAATACATGATTTTGTATATAAATACTAAATTGAATATGCTGATGTAATTAAGTAATAACCTCTCTAACAGGGATAAACAAATTGTAATGTAGCATATATATAAGTAAAATTTTCAAAATAAAACTTCTCTATCTTGGATTAGATAATCGGGCTGCTCTAATATCTCCTCAAGTTAAGGAGTGCCAGGGGTGGACATATGCTGGAAGAAGCGGTGTCACGCGACACCGCTTCGTCGAAAAATTTTATTAAGCATATGTAATTACACGGTGTCAAAATGAGTAATAGATATAAAATGACACTATTTGACATGTATCCTCGTTTGGCATGTTGGTTAGGTCTTGGTTTTGCTTTAAGAGGTTGGACTAGAACTTATTTTTGGCAAATATTTGAAGAGTCTTGTTAAATATTGTGGTAAAGTACAACTGAACACGAGACCTCTTCTAACTTAAGACTCCACAAAATTAATGCATTAAGACTATTACTTATTTAAAAATATGATAATTAACGTTATTCATTTTACACTTTTATATAAATATCGACACCGCTTACAAAACGTTCAGCGTACGCCCGAGGAATGCCCACCCAATTTGCACAACTTGTAATATGGAGCAAGGAAATAATGGACAGTTCCAAGGTTCTTTTAAATTGAATTGATCATCTAGAAAAGACTCTGAATCCATAATTTCAGCATATAGCAACCCTACAAGTCTATTGAGCCTTTAAGTGCTTAAAGTACGCTAAATTAAATACATTATTTTGCGTGTCAACAATAATAAGAACAATATTGTATTAATGACATAATTTTTGGAAAAGGTTGGAAGTGCATATGAAGGATGTTAAACATTGAAGAAAAAATGAAAAAAAGCTTCTAACTTAGCTCGCACAACGTGCATACTCTTTAGAATATAAAATTCGGACTTCATAAAAAGTTTCTTTTTTTTTTAAAGATTTTTTTTGTTACACCCGATGTTTTCGTACGTGAAAGTACGTCATAAGTAAATTGATGGAAGCTCGAAAATGAGATATTACATCCCGCATTTTCGTATGTTATAATTTCGTTGTAAGTTAATCGACATAAGTTCGAGAATGAGATTATTTTGAGATTATAAGTATTATGTTATTTCAAACAAGTGATGAGTAAATTCGTGAAGGTGAGAGTGTAAGCAAATTGAAGAAAATAAATTTCGTCAAAGTTTGACATTTTGGGATAAAATACAGCCCGAGCTAAAATACCCGGTATTTATGGACTAGTACCATACAAGGTACTACATGGCCATGATAGTAAGGTGTATAAGGTGTATTAAAAGTAAGTAGTATTTTAAGTAATTTGAGATAATTCTTAATTATATGAGTAATTGATTAATTATCGGATAGTGAAAGATTATCAATTAATCGTGAGATTAGTGGTTAATTAATGGCGATTTTGGATAAAGCTTGAACAACAAAAACGTGGAAGCAAGCCACTACACAAATCGTATGAATCTTAGTCATAATTCATGACTCATAGTCCTTTTTAATTAGGTGGCAACCTAACATGTTATATACAAGACATTTCCCTTCTAATATTTTCAAGACCAAAAATTGAAACTTATATCCATGAGAGTGAGCTGCTGCTTTTGCCTAATTTGCCTCTCTTCAAGCTTTTGATGTTCACAACCTGAATATCAATGGCAACAAAGACCAAAATCCTTCTTATAGTAAACCAACTGAAAACTTGTACAAGTTCAAAGCAGCCGGAATCCCTTTACACTTTGATAAAAAAAATGGCACTGCAACCAAAGACTGTTTCTTGATGAACCAATTCATTGCCACATGTTCTACACTTAATAGCACAGATTTTGCGATTCTAAGGGAGTACGGTGTAACCTTTTCCGAGAATATTATGGATGTCTATATTCTTGGTTCCCCATATGAATTATTATTATATCTTCTGTTCATAGGTCTCAGAAAAATACGTATTTTATAAAATTTATCCGACTTGCATATTATTTTTATGACATTCCGAGAAAATCTTATTAACGTATTTCTTATGCATTTCATGCATTTATACATGTACATTGACCCATGACCAGATGGTTTTATATACGCGTATATTATATGTATATGGGATATGAAAAAAGGTTATGGCATTATATGCGCACCACCACCTGATCAGCTGGTATATATTTATGATTTCCCCACAGTGGCCGAAATGATATGATGGGATGCCCTCAGAGGCTTGATGATGTTATGAACACATATACCTATGCATGGTATGACATTTATACGCATATGCATGACATTATAAAAAATAAAATGATTCATAGAGCTATACAGACGTACATGTCGAGTCTTTTACTCCATGTTTCTCTCATGTCTATTATTTACCGATTTTCATTCCTTATATACTCGGTACATTATTTGTACTGACGTTCCTTTTTCCTGGGGACGCTGCGTTTCATACCCGCAGGTCTCGATAGACAGGTTGAGAGTCCTCCAAGTAGGCGATCAGCTCAGTGGAAGATGTTGGTACACTTCATTTGTTCCGGAGTTGCTTATGTGGTCAGTGTGATTAGGATATGTACTGGTTAGTATGGCGGGGCCCTATCCCGACCTTTATGATATTTATGTACTCTTAGAGGTTTGTAGACATATGTCATGTACGTGAAAGATTGTACGGCCTTGTCGGCCTATGTTTTGAGTTTATAAATAATGATGTTGGCCTATTAGGTCCGTATGTCACGTGTATATGACGATGTAATAAGAAACATACATTACGTTGGTACTCGATTGAGTAAGATACCGGGAGCTCGTCGTGGCCCATCAGTTTGGGTCGTGACAAAAGTGGTATCAGAGCAGTTCTGTCCTAGGGAGTCTACAAGCCGTGTCTAGTAGAGTCTTGTTTATGGGTGTGTCGTGTACCACACTTATAAGCAAGAGGCTACAGGGCATTTAGAACTGTCACTCTTTCTTCTTACTCTAGATCGTGCGGTAGAGCTCAGTTGTAAGAACACAATTTCCTAAACTCTATTTTATTTATAATACGACGATGCCTACATCCCGAAAGATAGGTGGTAAGAGATTGAATGTGACTATGGAAGGGTTGAGTTAGAAGAACTCGATTTTATATGATGATTATGATAAGTAAATGTAAGGTCTTCAGTAGATCATGTGTGTACTA